TTGAACTTCACCATTGAAATTCACCAGAGCCATAGTTAAACTGACGATGCCTACGTGCATGGTAGTTGAATGTTGGAATACAGCGGGTAAAGCTGAAAAAAAAAAAGATTTATTTCACCTTTCTGATTCCTGATCCTCCACGGACGGGTTCGTCTTTGGATTGCCAACTTGAAGAGGGAGGATTTTCCATCAAAGTTCTGGCCAGATAAAAAACACGTAATATGTAGCCAAAATTTGGAAGAAGAATGTTTTTGAGATGACTTGGATAATAGCGCGTTGCTCAGTGGCGTTGAGGGTAGCACTGCTGCTTGTAGCAAGAAGGTTGCATGTTTTCCCTGAGCATGTGTGGGTTCTATCCGGGTACTCTACCCTCTTCCCACAATCCAAAAACATGACTGTTTTATTGAATTCTCTAAATTCTACTGACAGTGTGTGCATGAATGGTTGTTTATCCTGTTTGTCTCTGTGTTGCCCTGCGATAGACTGGAGACCTGTCCAGGGTTGGCCCCGCCTCTCGCCCATAGACAGTTGGAGGGATAAAGCATGATGGAAGAAAAAAGTGGATGATTAAGAGAGTTAAATGTTCAGAGAAGCAAAATGTAGCATCCTTAAACAAGATTGAATTTCTTTTTGTTCCTAAGCGGTGGTCTTTGGGCTGCAGCAGGATAAACAGACCTGAGATCAGCGTTATTTCCCTCAGAACATTTGGTTTAGTGACGTTGTGACTTCCTTCCGTTTCAGGTGCAGCAGTCTTTGATGCCATCGCACGGTCATACAGGAAGTAGTGGCTCCTTACGCCGTCAGCCCACGTACCCCCCGCCCGTTTCCTCCCAGTCGTCTTACCGCCTTCAAGACAGCGCCCTCTTCAGTTCGACCCCGAACCTGTACACCTACCCAGCCTCGGCCGCCCTGGCCTCCGTGTCGCAGGCCGTGGATCAGATGCAGGGCGGCAGGCCAAGCGGAGGGTTCTCCTCTCTGGCTCTGCTCCAGAAGAACGCCAGCTTGGCCCTCGGAGGCTCTGCAGCCGGACAGTACAGCAACCAACAGCCCTTCCAACGATCCAGTGCTGCGTACCAGAGAAAACTCAACCAGTATCCCCCTTACCTGTGACAGCTGGCTTAGCGACACCGTCATCGGGAACCAAGCCCTTCCCAGAGCGTGCCGTTATTTTAAACTGGGCTCTAGGTCATTTAAATCTGCTGCATCACTGTGACGAGCAGCGCAGCCGTTTGGGGAGAGTCGACCTACATCCTAAATTAAAACTAGGTGTAGGCTCTGTGCTGCTTTTCATTTAGTTTTAATTTGGACTGACTCTTATTTCTTTTACATTTATAAATCCACTGCCTTATAAGGGCAGCTTCCTTTATTTAAATATGTAACGTCTGCACATTGTGGTAAGTTGGATTAATACATTGGAGTAATGGATGTGGTGTTTGTATTTTAACTTTATTCTCAAACATAAGAACATTAACGTGCCGTGCTCTGTACCGATTGTGTCGTTGAAGGATGCTTTCAGGGAGTTTTTTATTTTACAGTTTCAAACATCAAGAAAGACTAAATATCTCTGCCATGTAGCAAAAGGTTGTAACCGGTTTCTCAAACAGCTTAGAAATACAAGAGCATTGTTTATTTTATGGGAAAAAAAATGTAAAAGTTTTTTGTCTTGGTGGCGTCAGTGAAGTAAAACTTCCACCAAATGTCAAATTAGGTCCATGTAGGGAACAGATCTGCGTTAAATATGAGGTAAACCCGACAAATAATTAATCTAAAGTAATGTTCCTTGTGTCTGTTCATGTGATGCTGTCTGTACATCTTGCTGTGTTAGATGCAACATTAGAGGAAACACAAGGATGCCGAACCTGTATGTATGCAATAAAGTCTTAAAAAGAAGTGAATCCATCTGTGTCGCAGTGATTCTCTACTTAATAGTAACTATCTTTAGTGTTCTGGACAAATTTCCTGTCATCTTAACCAAAGGGTCACCTACTAGATCTGAACTTAAACACATTCTAAGTATTTCAGTGGTTCTACAAGCAGGTGAAGATTAAATATCTGAGTGGAATTGCCAGACTAATTAATACTAAGCCTGTCTGTGTTCACAATGTCAGCTTTGGCACCTCGGCTTCTTTAAAAAGGGGTAAATTATATATATATATATATATATATATATATATATATATATATATACTAGGGATGCACGATATAATCGGCCCCCTATCGGTATCGGCCTTAAAACCCACCGATATTTAACCCGATATTTGATCAGCTTCTGAGTTTCTAAAGTCTAAAAAATTAAAATACTACTTCTTCTTCCTCAAAAACTTCTTTTTTACAGACTTCATCAATCTCTTTTACTAATGAAATATTGCTATATGTCATCGTTATGCTACGAAATCCCCTGAAAATTCATGAAATGTTGCCATATTTTTATATGCTGATATATTGACACGGTATCGATCTATTTTACTAACAAAATCTCACAAGAATTTGCAAAATATCACGAGAGTTTGTAAAAGAACAATGAAATTTTACGAGATTTTGAAAGTAAAATGGATCGATATAGCGTTTTTAAAAATCGATTTGATATCAGCATATGAAAATATATTTGAGTATATTATCTTTCAAAGTGTCAGAAATGGATAACAAAACTGCTATTTTCAATGACTACTTATTTTTGTCCAGCTTTAACATCGATATCGGTTATCGGCTACATGAGTTTTAAAATATCGGCATATCGGATATCGGCCAAAATCCCAATATCGTGCATCCCTATTATATATATTCTATAAAAATATATACTGTATATACCTTGATACCATGATATACTGTATATAGTTTATTCTTAATGCACCTTTTTCCTCCTTGTTTGCACCTTCTTTAATTACTATGCCAATATGTGACCAGTGAATTTCTCCTCTGTGAGATCAATAAATCTCCTCTAATCTAAATTCATAAAAATCAAAGGACACATTCTCGGTTCTCTCTGGGGAGGGGGCTGAGGAATGTTACCAACCATCCCATGTTTGTAGGGACCAAAATAAGCCAGGTTTGGAGGTAGCTCAGAATTCTGACTTTTTTTTTATAGTACTAGTAGCTTGTTTTTGTGTAAGGTGGGATGACAGGAAAACGGGTACGCATGAGGGGTAGAGACGTGTGGCGAAGGACAACAGGTTGGATTGAATCCCAGGTCGTCTGTGTCGACGAATAAGGCCTCTGTACTTGGATCGCGCACTAGAACCACTGTGCCGTGTTCTGGAATTCTGATTTAATTCTCAGAACTCTCACTTTAATCTTGGAATAATGTATAAAATCTTAACATTCTGACTTTTTTCCCAAATCTATGAATTCTAATAATTATCTTCAGTCTGAGGGGGGAAAATAAGACCAAATTCTTACTAATCGTATGATTCTGAGAAAAGATAAATCCTTTGGTTTTGGAGAAAAGTCAGAATTCTGACTTTAATCTTAGAAATCTAAGAAAAAAGTGAGAATTCCTACCAATTATTAGCCTCGTAAAGAAAATTTGGAGCCGTTCACCAAACGAACGTCCAATCAGCGTTGGCTTTGAGGCGGGTTGCGGTGTGACGCAACGAGAAGCGCGACATTTCAGTCTAAAGAACATGGCGGCTTCAGCCGATGAAACTAGCGTTAGCGTGGCTATCCAGCAAGTTTTATCGGAATTACAGAGTATTTCTTCACTGAAAGAAGAGCAAAACACCGCTCTGGAGGCTTTTCTCAGAGGAAAAGATGTTTTTGCTCTTCTCCTGACTGGTTTCGGCAAGAGTTTGATCTATCAATTTGCTCCACTTCGTCGTCGCTCTGTTAGTACGTCATATGCTTCGTTGATCTGATTGGTTTATTTGGCCCGTCTATCACCAACATAGGCCAATCAGCTAACCAGTATTTTCGCCCCTTTCCAAAAATTACTTCAACGGAAGGATTTTAGATGGATATGCGGAGCAAATCCATCTGGCAGAGTCAGGTTAACCAATTATAGGATCGAGAAAAAAAATACAGAATTCCAAATTTACTCTCAGAATTCTGACCGATGTCCAAAATTGTTATTTAAAATCACGCTTTTAATCTTAGAAGTCAGAAGAAAAAAAAATAATCAGAATTCTCACTTTTTTACAGGATTCTGGATGGCAAAAAGGTGAATGAAAATGAAAGGTGAAAAAAAATAATAATTTTCAGGCATTAGTGGCCTCAGGAAATTAGGCAGATATGAAACAGGAATGGAGGGAAGGGGGAAGACATGCAGCGACTCCAACCTGCTACAACCGCGTTGGCTAAAGCCTCTCTACATGGGTAACGCGCTAATCCCCTGCACCAAGCCCCTGAACTTTTAGCTTTAATCAGAAAAACATTATTTTTAATCAGATAAATCTGTGGGGAAAATGTCAAAATGCTGACTTTAATCTCAGAATTATGGCTTGACATAATTTGACAAAAGTGACAATTCTTACTAATCCAAGGATTTTGATTCTGTAGGATTAAGATCAGATTAGACGGAAAAGTCAGAATATATGCAACACATTGATGTATAAGAACAAATAACACATTTAAGGCCCCAAGAGTTAAATAAAAACATACCTAGAGTAAAAACTACTCCTTGATTATGATCTATAGCTTCATATAAAAATAAAGAGGCAAAACCAGATAGATCATCATCGTAACCAATTTAGCTTAAATTATCCTGGAGAAAAAACAAGGGAGGGTAGAAAATCCTAACATTAAACATCAACGCTAATTAACTGTAAATTAATACCTTGGATAAATTATTTTGTGTATCTTAGGTACCAATGTATATGAATTAATCTTGAAAGTTCAGTTTCAAGCAATATTTAATAGATTTAAGATTTTTTAAACAAATTAAAAGCCCTGGATTAAAGAACATAAGAACACACGTTCTTCCTGAAAAAAAACTTATTTCAGACCATTTCAAAGTATTTCTTTTACAAAACAAATCAACGTATAAAGCCATCCACATTGTTGTTGTTAACATTTATTGTTCTCCTGTTTACCTGTAGAACATTTTATAAAGCCGTCACATTCTGTTTTAGAAATATTATTTTACAATCAGACCGAGAAAAGCAAAGAAAGCAGTCGGATCCCAGATGTTCCACAAATACCTTTGATTTTTCTTTTCTCCATGCATGTAAAAACAAGAAACAGAACTACCAAATAAAATCCACACGAACCGAAATAATTATTAGAAACCAACACAAGGACACCTGCAGTAGATATGTGCAAGGCATTTGAACATTCAAAGTTGAAACAGGTCAATAAATAAAATCCATCTTCATCCACATGAATAAAAACACAGACGACGAGCTGCTTGCTGTCCAAAGGGAACAGCCGTGTTGCATTCAGGTGCGGTTCGGTCATCAGTGAAACCCGTTACTTTATGTTCATCGAACCACTCATATATTAATTTCTTTGTGCAAATAACTAGTCCAAGCCAATGAGCTTTGAATGAGGATCTATGTAATGAACATCACACAGCTTCTGGGAATATTAACATTTCAAATCAATCTGAATATTGCTGCAATCAAATTTATTTTAGAAAATGATAAGCTGGATTGAGGAATGACTAATTAATGAGACTGGCTATCTAAAGCTTACCCAGCACCGCTGTATCTCTATAGAACAAATATAGATATTTACAGTGAATACAGACAGGCTGGTTAAATGGCTGCACCAGCCAAAACAAACCGGATCGTCTGAGCTAAACTTCATCATATACACACATTTCACAATTCTGGAGAGTAATACCCAAAAATCCTCTTCTGTTTGTGAATGATTTGTAGGCCGCGTTAGCTTTCATGTTGGGAGGGGGAGCTGATGGACTTAACAGGAAACCGGACAGTAGAACGCCACGTCACCACGTCCCTGAAGCAGATCTCGGAGGTGGCGCGTGTGGAGAAGTCTTTTCAGTGTTCAGAATTCTTCGTGCACGTTTCTGGCGTAATCCATGAGCTTGCTGCCGGTGAAGTATTCGCTGTACCTGAGGATTTCTTCCAGCTCCAGGTGGCGGTTCTGGTTCTCATCCGCCACGGCGATCATCTGCTTGGCCTCGTTCAGGGCGTTGTGCTCGTTCATTGGGTCCATGTATTCCTGGAGAAACAAACAAACGAGGATTAGCTGTCAGCAGGCGAAGTGACCTGACTACTCCCTTCAGAGGAGAGTAAAAACAGGCTACTGCGGGTACTATTTGATGAAGATGCCAGTTAGGGACCTGTGAGGCGTTTGTTTCTCAATCTAGAGACTCCAATGTTCTTATCTTCTTGCTCAGTTGTGCAACACGGCCTCCCACTTCTTTTTCTACTCTGGTTAGAGCCTGTTTGTGCTTTTCTCTGAAGGGAGCAGTATACACCGTTGTAGGAAATCTTCAATTTCTTAGCAATTTCTCGCGTGGAATAGCCTTCATTTCTAAGAACAAGAATAGACTGTCGAGTTTCAGAGGAAAGTTCTCTTTTTCTGGCCATTTTGAGCGTTTAATTGACCCCACAAATGTCATGCTCCAGAAACTCAATCTGCTCAAAGGAAGGTCAGTTTTGTAGCTTCTGTAACGAGCTAAACTGTTTTTAGATGTGTGAACATGATTGCACAAGGGTTTTCTAATCATCAATCAGCCTTCTGAGCCAATGAGCAAACACATTGTACCATTAGAACACTGGAGTGATAGTTGCTGGAAATGGGCCTCTATACACCGATGTAGATATTCCACCAAAAACCAGACATTTGCAGCTAGAATAGTCATTTACCACATTAGCAATGTATAGAGTGTATTTCTTTAAAGTTAAGACTAGTTTAAAGTTATCTTCATTGAAAAGTACAGTGCTTTTCCTTCAAAAATAATAAAATTTCAATGTGACCCCAAACTTTTGAACGGTAGTGTAGTTCTAATAACAAAAAGCTTGAACGCATAAAAACTAAGGAGGCAAGTTATTAACGATAATTAAATAATCTTAAGTTTAGAAATCTTATCAATCAAATGAGGATTGATTGATTAGGTGCCATTTTCTTTTTTAAAACAGGCCTTAAATGTATAGAGGAGGATCTTTTACTTCCAGGTGGATCATCTAAATAAGTGGTTCTCTTAACTGTCAATCATTCTGCTATGTTTACGTAAGGCCGTTTGTACTCGTCCCGTTAGCTATCTTTTTCTGAGTACTTTCAGGCGTATATTTGTGGTGAGCTACGGTTTCCGACAGTCATTGAAGCTCACCTTTCTCACCGCGGTTATTTGAGAATGGCCGAGGGTCGTAAGAGAAAAAGTGTCTACGAAGTGTATGAGAAGAAAAGAAAGGCCTCAGAAGAAGCAGATATATCCCAGAATGCTTTGCATGGAGAGCTCTCCTTACAAAGCATTATGGGATTTGCTGACACAGCGACTAATAACAAATATGGCGCAGGCACCGTGCAGTGGAAGTTACTAACGGGGAGCAATAAGCAATGATGATCTGTCTGGACGGTCAGTTAACCGAGTTCGCTATAAAGTCCTCGCTCTATATAATAACTGAGGGATTTAGCGCAGAGGTTCGGTTGCACAGTTGTGCAGGTGCTTGGTGGAGAGGGAGGGTCTTTTAAAAGATTCCTGAAAATCCTCCACAATACCTTTAATGTTTTGTGTTTTTTTTTGTTTTCTTAACAGTATGGTGAAAAAAAAACAAAAAAACATTTCAACAGTTTTTTGTACACGCTGAGTTAATCAGTCACTAAATGAACAAATAATGTTTTTTTTAAACTAGATGTGAAGAATAATAAGTTGTAACATAACAGAAACCCATTAGGTTACTGAATGAAAAAAGATGATTTCCAGTGTACAGAAATGTAAAACATTAATCATTAATAGATTAACAGTCGCTGTGACATACTGTCTGACCATGTGTAGCTCTGTTTTAAGCCTTATCCATCATTGAGCACTATGAGAGATTTTAAACCTACCTTTAAACAGGTAGTTGAAAGGGAGATATTTAGGTGATAACTTATAAAGTTAAGAAAGTGTTTATATATACAAACAGAAACTTATAAAGTTCATTAAACAATGTAAATAATACTGGACCAGACTCTGGATTGATTCATGTTTCCGTTTTGGAATGCCTAATCTGACAGGTGATGACATCATCTAGTAGCCGCGTGAGACCATCCTGATCTCGCGAGCTTTCAAGGTTTCACTCGCAGATCAGTCTGGAGACTCTCCGTTAAAGAAAATTTGGAGCCGTTCACCAAACGAACGTCCAATCAGCGTTGGCTTTGAGGCGGGTTGAGGTGTGACGCAACGAGAAGCGCAACAGTTCAGTCTAAAGAACATGGCGGCTTCAGCCGATGAAACTAGCGTTAGCGTGGCTATCGAGCAAGTTTTATCGGAATTACAGAGTATTTCTTCACTGAAAGAAGAGCAAAACACTGCTCTGGAGGCTTTTCTCAGAGGAAAAGATGTTTTTGCTCTTCTCCCGACTGGTTTCGGCAAGAGTTTGATCTATCAATTGGCTCCTCTTCGTCGTCGCTCTGTTAGTACGTCATATGCTTCGTTGATCTGATTGGTTTATTTGGCCCGTCTATCACCAACATAGGCCAATCAGCTAACCAGTATTTTCGCCCCTTTCCAAAAATTACTTCAACGGAAGGATTTTAGATGGCTATGCGGAGCAAATCCATCTGGCGGAGTCAGGTTAATCATCTAGGGCCTTCTAGTGTCTAAATATTGTGTCACAACTGATTGCTTGTTTACGTTTCTTAAAAACAAAAGAAAGCAGTCTGACACATCTGTGGAAGCTGACTGCTGCATTTTAACAGTTGGAAAAACTAAATCTACAACAAAAAGGATTTAAAACAAAAAAACACGAAAAAAATGTGTGAGCATCACAGAGAGATCTGAGAACTGAACAAATATGAATGAGGAAATGTGATTTCTTCATTATTCCAGTCGTTTGATCAATTTGCTCAATTAAAAATTTGTTGTTTTCTCTGTGCCCATGGTAAAAAGGCAGGAGGCTGGTTGTTTTCAAATTTCTGATGAAAAAAAATCATTAGAACAGAAGCTATTTGAAGCATTTTATCTGCAGAAATGTTCCAGACAGCGACTCTATGTCGCCTCGCTGTGACTCACCTCCAGTTCGTTCATGGTCACGATCCCATCGTGGTTCGAGTCGATGACTTCCTCAAACTCCTTCTTCCTCTCTTTGACCCAGTCGTCGTCGATGTCCTGGCCCTGCTGGTTCTCCACTGTGCCCACGGGTAGAGAGATGAACTCTGACAGGGTCAGTTTCCAGTCGCTGTCCTGGTCTGCAGGGAAACAGGAAACTTTCCCCTCAGCATAGTTTTATCCAGTAACATTAAATCAGCAGCAGCGCTTAAAATCTGGTTTCATTCACAGGGTTTTTTCAGATGCGTCTTTACACTTTACTGCAGAGGAAAACTCGTCACCAGAAGTGAAGACAATATGGTCTGATAAATACAGTTTTAAAAGAATGTAATTCATAAAACTACCTCTGGAAAAGATACATAAAAATAAAATTAGAAAAAAATATATACAGGTGCTGGTCATAAAATTAGAATATCATGAAAAAGTAGATTGATTTCAGTAATTCCATTTAAAAAGTGAAACTTGTATATTATATTCATACATTACATACAAACTCATATATTTCAGATGTTTATTTTGTTTAATTTTGATGATTACAAATGACAACAAATGAAAATCTCAAATTCATCATATCAGAAAATTAGAATATTGTGAAAAGGTTCAAAATTGATGGCCCCTGGTGCCACACTCTAATCAGCTAATTAACTCAAACCACCTGCAAAAGCCTTTAAATGGTCTTTCAGTCTAGTTCTATAGGCTACACAATCATGGGGAAGACTGCTGACTTGACAGTTGTCCAAAAGACGACCATCGACACCTTGCACAAGCAGGGCAAGACACAAAAGGTCATCGCTAAAGAGGCTGGCTGTTCACAGAGCTCAGTGTCCAAGCACATTAATAGAGAGGCGAAGGGAAGGAAAAGATGTGGTCGAAAAAAGTGTACAAGCAAGAGAGATAACCGCACCCTGGAGAGGATTGTGAAACAAAACCCCTTCAAAAATGTGGGGGAGATTCACAAAGAGTGGACTGCAGCTGGAGTGAGTGCTTCAAGAACCACCACACACAGACGTATGAAAGACATGGGTTTCTGCTGTCGCATTCCTTGTGTCAAGCCACTCTTGAACCACAGACAGCGTCAGAAGCGTCTTGCCTGGGCTAAAGAGAAACAGGACTGGACTGCTGGTGAGTGGTCCAAAGTCATGTTCTCTGATGAAAGTAAATTTTGCATTTCCTTTGGAAATCAAGGTCCCAGAGTCTGGAGGAAAAGAAGAGAGGCACTTCATCCACGTTGCTTGAAGTCCAGTGTAAAGTTTCCACAGTCAGTGATGGTTTGGGGTGCCATGTCATCTGCTGGTGTTGGTCCATTGTGTTTTCTGAGGTCCAGGGTCAACGCAGCCACATACCAGGAAGTTTTAGAGCACTTCATGCTTCCTGCAGCTGACCAACTTTTTGGAGATGCAGATTTCATTTTCCAACAGGACTTGGCACCTGCACACAGTGCCAACGCTACCAGTACCTGGTTGAAGGACCATGGTATCCCTGTTCTTAATTGGCCAGCAAACTCTCCTGACCTTAACCCCATAGAAAATCTATGGGGTATTGTGAAGAAGAAGATGCAATACACCAGACCCAACAATTCAGAAGAGCTAAAAGCCACTATTAGAGCAACCTGGGCTATCATAACACCTGAGCAGTGCCACAGACTGATCGATTCCATGCCACGCCGCATTGCTGCAGTAATACAGGCCAAAGGAGGCCCAACTAAATACTGAGTGCTGTACATGCTCATACTTTTCATGTTCATACTTTTCAGTTGGCCAACATTTCTATAAATCCTTTGTTTTTATTGGTCTTCAGTAATATTCTAATTTTCTGATATGATGAATTTGAGATTTTCATTTGTTGTCATTTGTAATCATCAAAATTAAACAAAATAAACATCTGAAATATATGAGTTTGTATGTAATGTATGAATATAATATACAAGTTTCACTTTTTAAATGGAATTACTGAAATCAATCTACTTTTTCATGATATTCTAATTTTATGACCAGCACCTGTAGTATGGAAAAATGAAATATGTTAAAACATCAAAGTTACCCTGAAAAGGTTTTTATCAAAATTATATTTCTGGATCTCTTTTTTAAAACAAATTTCCATCTATAAAACATCATCCTTGCTTGCAACAATAATGAAAGAAAATTCACTCCATATCCAAAGTCCAATGTCTTACAATACGTAGGAGTATTAGGGCCAGGCTAGAGATTTTCTTTTTCTATTTTGAGAATAAAGTCGTAACATGATGAGATTAAAGTCGTAACATTACGCGAACAAAGTCGGAACATTACGCGAACAAAGTCGGAACATTACGCGAACAAAGTCGGAACATTACGCGAACAAAGTCGGAACATTACGCGAACAAAGTCGGAACATTACGCGAACAAAGACGGAATATTACGAGAACAAAGTCGGAATATTACGAGAACAAAGTCGGAACATTACGCGAACAAAGTCGGAACACTACGAGAACAAAGTCGGAACATTACAAGAACAAAGTCGGAACATTACGCGAACAAAGTCGGAACATTACGCGAACAAAGTCGGAACATTACGCGAACAAAGTCGGAACATTACGCGAACAAAGTCGGAACATTAAGTGAACAAAGTCGGAACATTAGGAGAATAAAGTCGGAACATTAGGAGAATAAAGTCGGAACATTACGAGAACAAAGTCGGAACATTACGAGAACAAAGTCGGAACATTACGCAAACAAAGTCGGAACATTACGAGAACAAAGTCGGAAAATTAGGAGATTAAATTCGGAACATTAAGCGAATAAAGTCGGAACATTAAGCGAATAAAGTCGGAACATTAAGTGAATAAAGTCGGAACATTAGGAGAATAAAGAAGTAACATTACAAGAACAAAGTCGTAACATTACGACAATAAAGTGGTAACATTACGAGAACAAATTAATAAATTTACAAGAATAAAGTCATAATCGAGAATAGTCATAAATTTATGAGAAGTATAAAAATTATGAGAATAAAGTCGGAACATTACAAAAATAAAGTAGTAACTTTCGAGAATAAAGTAGTAACATTACCAGAATAAAGTCATAAAATTATCAGAATAAAGTCATAAGTTTATGAGAATAAAGTCATAACATTAAGAGAATAAAGTCCTAAAATTATGAGGATAAAGTTGTATTTTATGACAACTTTTACAAGAAGCACTTTCTTCACTAAAATAAGGAATGTGGAGCATCATGTCAAGTTATACTTTGGCATCAGTTTCACAAATAAGGAAATGTTTTAGCACCAGCATCAGCAGGATGTTAAAGTGGACTCAGGTTGCTGATTGGTGGAGCTGGTCGGCCGCCATATGCTGGTCAGAGCTTGAAGCTTTCTTTCTGAAATGGGTTGTATGATGACTTTTTTCTTGTAATATTACAATTTAATTCTCGTAATATTACAACTTTATTCTTGTAATAATACAACTTTATTCTCAAAATAAATAAATAAATCTCAACTACAACCATATAGGAATGCGTTTTCTTCTACTTACACGCATAGATCTGTGTGCTAGCTACAAATCTGTTTTTTTCTGTGATGCAGCAAAGCCACTTTTAGCTCATTACTGCCACCTAAAGGGCTGCAGATAGAATGTTGGCGTCTTACTATTGTTAAAGGTAATGTGACCAAAATTCAGGACCTCTTGGATTTGAAATTAGCATTTTGTTAAATTGCAATTAAATTGAAAAATGCAATTCATTGCCCAGCTGTGTTTAAATGAGATTTAAAAAGTATAACTTAAGAAAATAATATCAATAGTAAATTGGATAAGACAAGTTAACCTAAAGGCTTATTAACTAAGACAGGTTAGGTTGCAGTTTAATGGATCATTATACAGGGAGAAGGCGAACAGACTGAACTTTGATGCTTTTATCTGACTCAGTTGCACTTTTACACATTTCCACATCTAATCAGTAGTTTCACGGGGATTAAGTGTTTTCCCTACGGAGACCAACATAAGAAAGGTATGGCGGGAATTGGAGAATTTTTTTCAATTTCCCAAATGATGAGGAAACAACTCATCAGAATAAATCTACAGAAAACACAGCATTTAAGAGTCTTGATTTCCCTTCTTTAACAAAAAAAATTACTCAAGAAAATCTCAGAAAAACGGGTTTAAAAAAATAAAGTGTTTTTCCACAAACATAGATTCTTCAGAGGTGTTAAAGGAAAATCGTATGAAAGAGTTGATCAGTTAAAGGATGATGCATCTCTCAGTCGTTTTTTTTTTTACTTTTAACTTCTTGCCACATCAAGGCAGGACTTTGAAACGGTTTATGGCTAAAAATAGGGATGTAATCGTTTCCTAATCGACCACTTCTCATAATTTAAGATGCCGGTTGCCGCAACTATGTTGTCATTGGCTGAAAACAGGATAGCAGAGAAGATAAGAAATCAGCTAAAGCACAAAAAAAAAGAAACTTAAAGATATTCAGAAAGACTGACAGAAGATGAAACATCCCTTTCAGAGAGCAGAAAGATGGATTCCTCGTAACTTAAGAAAAACATTTATGGTAAACTTTTGAAAAAACACATTTACATCTTTTCAAGGTGAAACTAATCATGTAAAATGTGATTTCCTCTCAGTGTAAAATGTTTGTAATTCATTGAACTCATCAGGATTAAGTCCAATGATGGCTTCTAGCAGGTTTAGGCTGTGCAGATTTAGAAGGTTTAAATTTACCCAAGTCTCGCACTATTTCCTTCACCATGTATCTGAGCATCCCTTTGCTGTGTTCAGGGTGGAGGAAGGACAGGAACTCTTCCTCATCCAGCCGCTGATCAGCAGGCGGATTATCGGCCTGGAACCAGCGGTCCTTCAGGCTCTCCAACACCTCCTGAGCTGCAGGATAAAGATTAGAAAAAAAAACATTAGTTAAAAGCTTTCCAACAATAAAGCATAAAAACAAAGCTTTTCACTTACTCTCCTCGTCCAGTTTTAGCTCCTCCTTGTTGTTTATTTTATCAGCAATCTCTTTTTCATCAAAACCTTTGCTGGCCAGAAACTTGATTTTGTATTCATCCCATGTAACAAAACCTGGACGGCAAAATACACTTTAGCTCTGGAATAAGTTTGAAGTATTCATCAGAGAAACGGCTCGACTCTTACCGTCTCCGTCTGGATCAACGGCCTGGAAACTGTTTTTGTTCTCCTTCATGGCCTCGTTGAAGTGCTCCTTCGTCTTCTCCATGATCCATTGTTGCATCTCCTTAGCACTCACACTCCGATCTTTGTTGACGTCGACTCTGGAGAGAAGTAGCAAAATAAAAACAGCGTTTAGGTTATGTTTGCACTGCAGCTGGAAGTGACAAATATATGACTTTCTTGTTCAAATGTGACTGCTATTGGATGTTTTCATGACGGTCTAACAGCACAGATCTGATCTTTTCTAATGTGACCTGTGTCTGTACGGCCAGGTCTCTCATCTCTACCTCATTAAAACTCGACAAATGTCACTATTCTGCGTCCTGCTACGCAGAAGCGCGAAGAAACGCAACCATGGCAGATGATAACATGGAACAACGCGGACAGCAGCCAACCTTTAGAAAAGTGTTTTTTTGTTTGTTTTTTAAAAGTCTATTTTATGGTACAAGAGCACCGTACTGCAGGGGCAGGGCCCCGCCACCCTATAATCGATGTAAGAAGTATAAATCCTAAGTCTAAAGAAACCACAGGAAGTTGGTCCCAATCACAAGAAGTTAAACCCTCACCTTAGGTTTAGGTTTCCTCCCACAATGTTAGGATTAGGACTAGGGTAATCCCTCAGGGGAGTGGATAACTTACTTAGGTTTCCTTTCCTTATTCTCAGCTCTGTCCAATGACCTTGTGATGCTCCAGCCACTGCGTGTTAGAACATCACTGCACTCCTGACGCCGCCATCTTGTAGTCTAATACCTGCATTAGATCTGAAAGCTCAGCTAAACATTTGTTCCTGTATTAGAGGATTCCTAAACTGCTGCCTTAATTACCTAGAGTAATTAGTTAGACATCCTTTGTGTCTCTGTTTCTGTCTCCTTGAACCCCAGTGGGCCTCAGCAGATGGCCGCTCACACTGAGCCTGGTTCTGCTGGAGGGTTCTTCCTGTTAAAAAGGAGTTTTTCCTCTCCACTGTCGCTACAAGCATGCTTAGTGTGAGGAATTGCATCAGAGTCAATGAGTCGATGCAATCAACTGTTTTTCCTTAGATAGAAAACTTTAATCAATTTGACTGTATGATCTTGTGGCATTGAGATGACGTGTTGTGAATTGGCGCTATAGAAATAAACTAAATTGAATTGCTTAGCTCAGCAGCTAGCCTCAAATACATAGTTTAATCAATAGTACAGGGGGAACCAATAACCAATGGTGGTAAAATACACTGAGGCCTTTTGTATTTCTGTTTCTAAGCTCCAGAAAATTATGAAAAAATAAAGCGTTTCAAGGATAGAAAGTAAGGTTAAGTGTATTAAATAAACAGCTGGCTGTGATAGTGGGACTGATTACAGGACGTGTCCCGTGTTTGCATCGTTTGACCATGAGACGTGTTTGTCCTCTGAAAGAGACAGAAAGGCGCCAGAGTGTTAAAACATTCTTAGATTTAAGGAACAGAGAGGTGATTATCTCCTCCATTCCCACACATGCTAAGGATTTTTTCTTTTTTCTTTATGCGACTCAATAAATAAACCAAACCAGGTTTTTTTAATGCCGATAGCAGAAACATGACATTGGTGCCATAATATCTCACAGTCTGATTTATAACTGAAATCTGAATGTGTGTGGATTGGGCTGGGGGGGAGGGGCATTAAGCGTTAAGACATATTTGGTTCCTCTGTGAAAGAGTAGCTGCTGCATCCCAGAGGGAAAAAAAAACATGGAAAGCAAATTTCCTTATTCAAATGGTCACATTTAAATTCTCAGTATGTAAAAAAAGACAACAAAAAAAACAAAGAAATGTTTGGTGAGATGTCAGCAATCTTTAAAAAGGCTTCATCATTAAAAAAAAAAAAAAAAATGCCTCCATCAGAGCTCGATGTTAACCATCGCCCGATCGCAAGTAGTTTTTATTGTCGGGAGAGTACAAATTTCGCAAAAAAAAAAATTTTTTATCACTCAAAATTACATTAAAATCACCGACATTCGCTGAAAACGACCCACAAGCGTTGCCGTCGCGTGATTTCAAAAAGCTGCGTGATTTTCCGCCAGATGGTGTGATTTTTGTCCGGCGCGAATCAGACACATTTTTTTTTTCGACTTGGCAGGCTAAAAAACAACAAGGCTGTTTTACCCTCCACCCAGATAACCCTAGAATAAAAATTATTTGTCAGGGATTAGGAAAATTGGCATAATTGTATGCCATGCGCACAGTGTAAATATCATATCATATGCCAGTCTTCTGTACAGTGATGCAGGTCATACATTAAAAATGTTCATTAAAATTTCCTCTTAGACATTGGAGAGGTGCATTTAAATGTTATAGAGCTAAACATGTTAAATTGGTGACCTGTTATTATTGTCTTGTTGCTGCATTTATTTTGTCAGGGAAAACTAATCCTGAGTCAGTTAAAAGTGAATTCTGAAATGATGTCAGACTGTGGAAACCCTGAATAAAATAACTATGTATAATGATTCTCTAGAAAAGTCACATTATATTAATAGTATTATCTTGTATAAACATACCGTGACTCTAAAATAAAAGTTATTCATTTGTGACATTGACTTCTGTCTTGTGATTTATCTTAAGTTTTTAACCTGTCAAGTTTTTTTTTAGATTTTTAACATTACAATTTATATTTTTTCCAACACACAACATTTTAAAGCAAAGTTTAGTTTGAAAAGAATGTGCAGGAAGGATTGAAAGCATGTTAACACGGTAATGTAGGCTTGAGTTCGTTATCTGACGCATGCAGATACACACCAGGAACCTGTAAACTTAAAAAATACTGAATTACAAAAAACATAAAAAAACAAACATGTTTCATTGATGTATATACAAAAATTAATATTAGGAACTATATTTATTTAACATTATACTGGGCAAGTAAAAATTGTTTCTGGGCAAATGAAATGTGAAAGTCACTTGCCCAAAGGGCAAGTGTTAAAAATCTTTAACGTCAACCCCTGTCCATCACATTGGCAGCAAACTCTTCATTAAATGTCGTTATTTGTTTCCAAACAGATAAAGTTTTCTGTTGAAGAGGAAGTGATTTTGAAACCATGACAAAACCTGCTGAGCTGTAACACCTAAAAAAAAGAAAAAAAAACTCACTCCAGAGGTTATTATAGTTAAAAAAACATTTTTTTTTCTTCTTGCTCTACAGGCTTTTTCAGCAACTGTTCCTTTTTTTTTCTTAAGACCTCAACTAACACACAAAAAACCGGTTATAAAAAGTAACAACCGAATATTCAGCATGAAGATGTCGTCGTGCTTCAAAACCTTGAACCTTTTATTTAACCAAATTCTTTTAAATTTCATAAAATGCCTTGACCTGAAAAATAAGTCTAAATGTTTTCATTTCTTCTGAATCTTCTTAGTGATTGATAATGAGCTCTTAACACATTTGTTTGATGATTTTACAAATCTAATACATCACCAGTGAGAGAATAAATTAATGTTATCGCACTGTCATGGTGCTTAAAGTGAATCAACCAAGCAGGTTTTCCAGGAAAGCAGACGTACACGTGTTACATTACTCATCTCGCCATTTTTCTGCTCGTCTTGCCTGCAACTTAAAGTTGTAAACAACACCAAACTACTTCCGTTTCTGCAGCGCTCCAAGTTGTGACCCGCTCCTAACATCTTGATTCCTTCACTCAAAAAACAAAAGTCGACAGAAGTCAAAATTATAAGGAAACAAACTTCTGTAAAATAAAGAGTTTAGGCTCCAGCTCAACCAGTCCAGTTTTTATTTTAGAGTTTGACAAATGTTGAATTATGTGTTACTGTAATTTGAAATCCATGTTTTCTTAAATGTTGAAAGAAATGAAATGAAAGGAACAAACTGTGAATATTTGAGTTTTCAACTTAAAAATAACTTTATCATTGGTCATCCACAATTTTACCAAAAGGAGAAAATACACCACATGTATTAGAGGGCAGCTAATCATGCTAATCATGTGCATGTCCTACAGATGGGTTACATGAGAGATATTTTTCTGTTTAGATTAGGGAAGATATTTAAACTGGGAGCAAAACAACCTGAGTATTTACTTTACCCTGTATTTAGATTAGGTTGAGGTTTTAATTTCAGTTCAGTTTATTTCTATAGCACCAATTCACAACACATATCATCTCAAGGCACTTTAAAGTTCACCAGGATCATACAGTGAAATTGATTCAGTTTTCTATCTAAGAAAAACCAGTTGATTGCATCGACTCATTAACTCGAAAGCAATCCCTCACACTAAGCATGCTTGTAGTGACAGTGGAGAGGAAAAACTGCCTTTTAACTGGAAGAAACCTCCAGCAGAACCAGGCTCAGTGCCTGGTTCTGCCATCTGCTGAGGCCGACTGGGGTTCAACGAGACAGAAGCAGACATAGAAAAAGAAGCATAGATACAAAGGGCAACTGTCAACCAGCTCCACAGACGCCACCCTCCAGGAAACACACAGGAAGGCAGATGAGCTCCGAGCCAGCTCCCATGTCAGAGGATGAAGAGAGCACATCCAGCCAGTCACAATGAGAGAAACAGGACTACACTGAAAAACCGGCTGATCTCAAACATCTATAAAGAAAGGTGTACAGGCTTTATTTACTTTGATGAGTTGGAAAAATAGTTTTAACACATTTCTAGGCAAGAAAGTCCACCTCAAAGCAACCTCAGTTCAGTCAGTTCATCAGGATTATGATGCCACTAAAATGTAAAGTTATCTTTTTGAGAATTGGGGATTCCCAGTGCTGCCGGCCTGCGGTATGCTGGAGGTCTGGAGCTACGAACAAGAACTAGATAATCCTGAGGAACTGATGATGTTTGAAAGTGGACTTTCTCGCCTAAAAATATGTTAAAATTTTCCAACTCAAAGTAAGTAAAGCCAAGCTGCTGTCTAGGTTGAAGCTACAGAACAGAGCGGATAAACAACCAGAATGCCGAGAATCGAAACCTCAAACAAATTGACCAGCGTTTAAGAGCTTTTTACGCTCAAATCGCTTTCAGTGTGAACACATCTTACAGTTGTAGGGAAGCAGCTTGTCCAACCGTTGCATTTCCGAATTCTCCCGATTGGTGAACCACTTTACACAAGTGAATAAAGTGAATGTGATTGGTCGTTTATCAAGGGGGTGGGATTGTTGTGGAGGAAGGTTCACAAGTATGTTTGGTTGTGGTCGGTGTCTCGGAAGCATCTTGCTAACCAGTTAGCAACTTAGTGCTAGTAGGTCCCCAATGGGAAATTACATTGGGACGAAGCAGCACTTAGCAACGACACTGTCAAAGAACGCTATGGACAGAGGAAACATGCAAGAGGAGGAGAGTTTAGTGTCGGAGGTCGTGGATGAGTCTCCTCCGTCATCCATTTTTTATTTAGAGGAGGAAAGCGGGATGAAGATGTTGTGGAAGAGGACGCCAGGGCGGCAGAAGCTTGGTTTGGTGTAGAAGGCTTCCAGCCGTACATGTTTGAGCCCTTGCCTCGCAACGCTGCCAGTTCTGTTAGCTCTACGCCTGCCGAAGACACAGACGTCCATCCCCGTGAACACTGGGACGCAACTCAATGGGAAAGGAAAGGATTCTGATTTCTTATTTCAACAGTTGCGTATATTAGCTGCGACATATGAGTCAAGATGCTATGACCTACAAAATTTGATTGACAGATGACCGTTGATATATGATTGGCCGAATTTAGGTGTACAAGCTGACGTATAACTAACTGGCCTGCATAAGATAACGGAAAAAAACTAACAAAAAAAACACAGATGTTAAGACAGGATTTTTTTTTTTTTAAATAGACATTTTCAAACTTTTGGGACAATATGGTCTAATAAAGAGTACATTTATATACACGTTTAAGCCAGAATGATTTAAAATTTAAATATGACATCCCTACGACTTTAAGGCTCAGACTGACATCAGTTCAGTACTTCACTTGATGTTCTTAGATGTGTGCTTATAACTGATTAAGGAGCCACCAGCAGCAAACATTTAGTGTTTATATTTTAATTGTTTGTTGCTAAACATGATTATTTTACAAGCATGTTGCACGGTTTAATTTTTGTTGCCCTTTGAATTAAGGTCACCTCCCAGAAGGGAGAATTGAAATAAAGCTTTTTGACAACTTCAAGGGTGAAAAAAAATTATGAAATCATATTTGGTAGAAAAAACAAAACAAACCCAGATTACATTTAAAAGTCATATCAAACAGCCTTACTTGTAAGTTAACTATGAATATGTAATTAAATAGGAAATGTAGCAAAACTTTCATCCAACAAAATAACCTACAGCTTAAAAGGTAAACAAGTACTGATGACTCACTCGAAGAATAAAACTACTTTGTTTTTGTGAACTGATATAAATTATGCCCCCATATTTAGCACATGGTTTTTCAGGTTTACAGAATTAAAAATAAACTCTTTACCCCATAAAAAGGAAATTGTTCGTTCAGCTCTCTGTAGATGTACTGCAGGTACTAATGTTGTATAACCGGCCTTGCTAGTCCTTTATCCTACTTTTACCTTTGTTTATCTGTTTGCATATATGTATGCTTCCATCTGCAGCTGGCTGCTGATTTCCTTCATTTAGGGATGATAGTGGATCACTGTAATCTAATATTATATTCTAGTGTAAAAATTATCTAGGACCTTCAGTTCCTGATGACATCTGGCTATCTTATCACACCCAGCTCTGACATGCAGAGACTCCAGACTATCTAGAGGCTGGAAAAACAAAAAGAAAAGGTTTCTTACTTTGTAAAAATCTCTATAAGCTTCCTCCGGTTCCTCCTTGGTTCTGAATCCTCATCAAACTCATCCATCTCCTTCCCCAGGAACACCTCCTGGTGGAAGTCCTTGTTCAGGTGGCCGTCCATCTCCATCTTTAATCCGTTCAGGTGGTCTGGTGGAAGGATCTCGTTCTCGTCCTTAGTGGCCGCAGACTTATCCTTGGAGGACGACATGTTGGCCGGACGTGCGTGGACATCCAGGGTGAGCAGGATGTAGGAGAACAAAGAGAGAGCCAGGAGGTTCCTGGATCGAAGTTCTCTCAAATCAGCCATGAGCACCTCTAGAAAAAAAACAAAAAAACATCAGAAAAGTCATGAAAGCAAAAGATCAACCAGATCAGCTTCTATTCATCTAATCTAAATCTGTGCTTGGAGCATTTTGTGGCATAGATACTAAATAAATTAATAACATTACGCAACAGCTCTAAAAAAAAAAAAGCCCTAAGAATATTTTACTACATTTTTGAAACAATATCTTTAAAAGAGCAGAGGAAAGCCAAGCTTCACTGTATGGAGTGAAATGTGTACGTTATTGTTGCAAGCATAGATAAAGTTTTATAAATGGAAATAAAAATAAAAAAAAATCCAGAAGTGAAACTTTGAAAAATCATAATAACCAAGTTCTTATAATTTCTCTGCCAATTACACAGATTTTATTTGTTTATGTTATTTAATTAAAAAAATATTCTTTATTTATTCATTTTCTTACTAAATGTATCTTTCAGAACAAGTTTTTCAATCTCTTTTTCTTTTTCTTTAAATATGCTTTCTTTTAGAGCAGATGTCACTGATTAGCAGTGCGGAGCCGGAACCAACAGCTGGCTAATCTGGATCCAACCTGATTTAAGTCATTTATAAATTACTGCATGTTCTCTGACGGTAGTAGGGGTGTGCAAAATAATCGTCATGATGATGCATCGTGATTCTAATTTTCATGATCTACTGCATCGATTCTTGACGCCAAGTATCGATTATTCATTTTAAAAAATGAGTAAATAAAATTGCATGAATGGTTGGCGAACATCAGCCAAAAACAAGTGTAATACAACTTCCAGTCCAGTAGATGTCGCTGTGGATATGTTGACGCACGCTGCCTTGTGTCACAAGCATTTCTACTGCGCCGAGTCATTCAAAAACAAAACATGGAGGAATGCATCGCAATAATTCAAGTATCGTGATGCATCGTGATAGAATCGCATCGTGGCCTGTGAATCATTATTCGAATCGAATCGTGACTCCTTTGGCAATACCCACCCCTAGACGGTAGTGTCTAACTTCAATTGCGCCGTTTCTCCTTTTAATATAATAAAGCCCTCTGGAGCATCGAGGACCAGGCAACACATAATATAAATTAGCCAATAAGCTGCTGTCAGTCTGGGTTGCTGCTGCTGCTACTTTTAGACACAGCAGGCAAACCTGCAGCAAGCCGGGCGAAGGGAAATAAGGAGAAGACGATTAGAAAAAGAGAGCAGATTAAGTGTGGACTGCTGGTGAAAGAAAAAGTGAAATGGTGCTCAAAGATGACCCTGCACATTTAGAGGATGTTTGGCTCAACCTGCTGCTGTGAAGCAGGATTCTCCACCATGAACAGAATCAAAAATAAATATAATAAAGATCCAGGCTCAAAATGAGCACCTTGATATGTGCTTGAGAATGGCTTAGTCTTCATTAAACTGCGAACATTAAACCATTAAAAAAACGGTCAATTCAGATGTTTTATAAAATATGTGAATTAGAAAATTGTCTATATACCAAACTGATCGATGGTTGTTCTCTACTTCAAAAAACACTTTAGATTTAAAAATGGGAAAAAAAATTATTTTTTTATTTACAAAGTCAATGTATAACATGGATGCATAAACACCTCATTTTATTTCAATGTTAAATTCTGCTTAAAGTAACAGATTATAATTAAAAATGTCTCTGAAACTTTACTGGTTGTTGATTTGCTTGATCGGACCCTGCTGATTTTTAATTGGTTAAAATGAAGAGGCATTTCTAATTGTCTGTATAGATGGATGTTAGCAGCAACATTTTTATTAGCAAATGACAGAGAAAAAAAATTAAAATGTTAATTTCAAAACCATTTTTTTATTATTAAGAGGTTTTCAAAGTTTCATTTCAAAGTTCAATTTTTTCCCCAAAATTTCCATTTACAAAATGTATCCTTTTCTTACAGTAATAATGGAACAAAATTCACTCCATACAAGTGGGCAAAAAAAAGGCGATAAGGTGGATCACTGCTGTCCAAGGTGATGATGAAGGAAAGATGCGCTTTTTGTATCCCATAAGAAACCTAAAAGGGGGTCTGCCTGGACAAAAAAGGCATATCTCCAGTAGTAGATGAGGATAGAGCATCACCTCTGAGGTCTTTATCTATTTATAGCTGATGAGATGATATATATCGTCTCCTCCATTCCATCAATTTAAAGTAGGTTTGATAATCATTAAATCATAAAGCAATTCTACACCTCTCAATTTTTCCCTCTGAAAAGGCAGATCCAGACGACGCCCTAGTTCATAAAAATTTCAACTAAAAATTTATTAAGGCGTTGAAAAAAATGGACTATAGTTCACGACAAAGCTCCATCCTGTAAAATAGATTCATCTGCTCCTTTTTAGAAATATTGAAACAAGATCTGCTACAGTTTACTGCGTTCACTCATCAGGATCTCCATATGTGCAGTTATTTACTATTGAAAATGACTATCTAGGTGCAATACTTGTTTCATATAACTTTTTCTGCGCTTTCTTTTCAAATTTTGCCAACTTTAAATTGATTCATGCACTCTCCTCTTTTTGTGGAAAGCTGAATTTAAACTTAATGACCAAGCTAATAAATCTCAAAGTGAGTGTTGGGGACCTAATGATGGAAAAGAAGGATAAAAGTTTATTAAAATATAGATTTTAATGAAAATAGATTTTTTTTTTCTATTAGCAAAGAAATTGACTTCAAATGGTGCAAAAAGATCAATTTGTTTTATTTTGTTTGTTGTTTTGTTAATGTTTCTGTATTTCTATTCTTGTTAAATCATTTATGTTTACATCAATGTCCAGGTAATGTCTTAGAACCTTTACTGGAGTGCAATACAAAGCCAGAATATTCAGGTATTCAGGTCGTTTAGCACACTCATTGTTTAAACAGTAACTTGCTTTTCTGTACTTCAACACACCCACCAGAAAAATCTATTACGTCTCGAAAAGGAACTTTGGAGTCTATGTGACAAGAAAAGTCCCAGGAATCCTAAAATTAAAATGTAAAATACTGAGCCTAAATGTTTAAAATAAGCTTTAAAGGAAAAATTAAACAAGCAAAGTCGCCATTAAAGTCTTGATTTACTGCCCACTTTACTAGTGACAGTTTAATCTGAACATTGGAGATATGACGTGTTTTCAATGAAAAGTAAAAGGTCAAAACTTAAGCTGGTGTCCATATTGTTTAACATAATATTAAAGGAAAACAAAGAAGGCAGCAGGTCAGAGTTTGGATGCAATTTGGGAATATTTGTAACACGTAGTTTAACATTGCATAAACAAGTAAAGTACACTAGATCGTAATAACCCCCCCACCCCCCTTCGCAATGGACAGTCAGGCCAGTGTTTCAGGTCGCGCGAACACTAATAATTACGGTAGTAACGTCTGAGCTTATGTTTCAAAATAAGAACATTACTTTTCACGTATCTATAATTTTTTTTCTTCTTTTTTAAAGTATTAACTGAAAACAAGTACTTTTACAGCAATAATGACGTCAACTTATGTCAAATTGACTCGGTGTAGAGAGTTTGTGGGGCTTTAATTTTGAAATTCCACATCAGATGTGGATGCACCTCACCTCCAGATGAGACTCACATCTGGAGGTGGTTCTACTGTAATAGTAAAATTGAAGCATTCACTGAAAACGTATAGTTTAGCAGCTTAACTGATGGCAACTTCGTTTGAAGTGAGTGAGTGTGGAGATATTAGGGGCTTTAATTTTGAAAATTCACATCGATTCCACATCAACAAGGTTCAATCACATCTGTTACCTTAAAGTTAAAGAAGTCAGGTGAAAAAAACATTTCTAATATTAGATTATAATATATTTACTGTCAGAACACAATAAAAAATAACATATAGGCGAAGAAATTATTAATCAACTAAGGCCAAAAGAGTAAAAAAGCGCAGGCGTAACTTACTACCGTAATTATTAATGTTCGCGCGACCTAAAGAATCGCGTGAGAGCTGAATAGACTGTCGATCCCGAAGTAGAGGCTGGTTTGATCGTGGTCGCCTTAAATCAAGTCAAATGTCCACCTGCTACTGGAATTATAATAGTAATAATAAAGTAGGTGAATTTCAACGACTATGTGTGAAACTGAAAGCACATCCCAAGCTAGCTAGCGTCGGTTTGATAGTTACAGACCTGTGGTGGTTCCAGTAGTGCTGAATCAATTCTCCAAATGTAAAGTGGTCCGCCCACAGAATCCCGTTAAAAAGTCTAAAATAAGTCTATGTACAGCAACAGGAAAGACACACAAGAAGCGGATTGAAACAACTGGTGTTAATTTCCTGATAATTCCCCCCGGTCGATTAGTTGTACTGCCTGGTTAGCCGCTAACGCTGTTCTAATGAATTATATAACCACTCGTAGTCGGAGTCATCACTTCCGGAATCATCTTTCAAAATAAAATACAGTTTAGAGCTTTCAACGAGCAGTTGTTTAGTTTCTATGATACACATCTTATAAAACCAATATGGGTACATTAAAAATTATTTTTAAACATTCTTAAAATAGTATTATTTTTTGTTAATAATCAACTGGTAAGGCAGGCAAAGCTTGGATAGATTTCATAAAGCTACTCAGTTTGAGATACCAATAAATAAGTAAAAAAAAAAAAAAAAAAAAAAAAAAAAAAAAAAAAAAATATATATATATATATATATATATATATATATATATATATATATATATATATATATATATATATATATATATATATATATATATATACATATAAAATAATATTATAATAATATTTAAACAATATCATTTTCTTAGGAACCAACTGGTAAGGCAGGCAAAGCTTGGATAGATTTCTTAAAGCTGCTCAGTTTGAGATACCAATAAATAAGTCAAAAAAAAAAAAAAAAAAAATATATATATATATATATATATATATATATATATATATATATATATATATATATATATATATATATAAATAAAATAATATTATAATAATATTTAAACAATATTATTTTCTTAGGAACCAACTGGTAAGGCAGGCAAAGTGTGGATAGATTTCTTAAAGCTGCTCAGTTTGAGATACCGATAAATGTATGTAAATATCTATATATAAAATATGAGGATCTTAGATCACTAAATATTTTTTCTCTGTTCTTTCTCAATAGCAGGGGTCTGTAACCTTTTAAATTTAGATACACCTTTGCCACAAGATCTCATAATAAAATGAGCCATGATAAAGATTTCACAAATGTTGACAGCCAAGGAAATCAAACTAAACTTTTCTATTTTTAGAATTTACAAGAAAAATTACTGTGACCCCCAAACTGGGAGAGTGGCTACAGCAGATTGCAGGTAAAACATGAGAGGTCTCTGTCCAGAAGAGCGCAGTCCTAGGAACAGCTAAGATACTGGGCAGGGACCCGGACTTGAGGATGACACATACCACCCCACGAGGGGTGAGAAAATATGATTTTTTAAATAAATTTTATATATAGAATAGGTCAAGCTTTAGAGGCACCCTAAATATGAAAACCAAAAAAATGAAACTCAGCCCACCTAAAATATAAGACAGATAGTTAAAGCTAAAAAAAATGTCAATATGTTTTAAGACTTTTCTTTCCACTGCTGATGTGCATTGAATGATAATATATGCAGACATTGCATGATAAACACAATTTCCTTGTTTATTAAACTAATTTATTATTCAGTTTTGGTGAAGAGGACAAAAAGCCACATGTGGCCCCAGAGCTGCAGGTTGAAGAGCCTTGCTATAGACACCAGAGTATGCTTTTTTTTTTTTTCTTGTTTACTGTGTCTTTCATCAGCAGCTCCTCTAACTGAGCCATCACTGCCATTTCTTGTGTTTTGCCTCACCAAGCTGGTCACATGAGACGCTGCATGTTTCTTTCTATTAAAAGCCTAATTTCTCTCGCTTAATGCTTCCTCCATTTCAGGGATTGCATTAAAGCAAATAATTTTATTACAGCTTCTATGAAGAAGATAAACATGGAGGAAATTAAATCATGATTATGTTTATTGATTTACACAAGAGGAAGAAAAAAGTCCTATGATTTGTCACAGTAGTTATTGTTATTAAAGTGTAATTATTAAATAATAAGAAGGAATTAACTGAAAAAAACTAATTACTATAAGGTATAGAGTATCTTCATGAACTAGCTGATTGGATTATTTTTTTTTTAATTATTATTTGGTGCGCTATTTATTTATAAATATAAACTACTTCCGGAGTTATATTGGGTTAAAACTTGGCATTTTGTACAGCTTCCTGCGTCTCTCACAGCTGTGCCAGCAGATGCAGGAAGTAAAGACGCAGCGTCGGAACGGTACTTCCACTGGCCTCCTCTAGATGTCACTGTTTTCAAATTTAACACCACATTAGCAAACAGGAAAGGCTGCCTAAAAGTTTATAACTCTAAACCAATGCATATAAGAAATGTTCAATACATACATATATATATATATATATATATATATATATATATATATATATATATATATATATATATATATATATATATATATATATATATATATATATATATATATATATACTTTTATATATATAAAAAACAATATAACAAATTTTATAATATATTGAACAATATAACATTTTTCAAGATTAGAGATGATATGCTTTCAATTTCATGAAAATTTGGCCTTTTTCACATTTAAAGTTCGCATAGCTATTCTTAGGGATTAAAAACAGTAACTATGCATGGTGAAAAGCATATTGAATATGCTTCCATCTTCAACCTTTAGACAGTTCTTCCAAACAACAAAATCCAAATGTTTGCTTCTTAAGGCAACTAAAAAGAGTCTGTTTCTATTTTTATCCCAGATCTAAACAAGAGTTGGAAGAGTAAGCTAATACTGAGTACAAATGACAGATACAATAATTTATACAAGCAACACACAACTTTATTGTCTGCCAGAGAACTTTTCCTCTATGAGATAAAACAGAGCTGAATAAGCTTGTAGGGTTGCCAGCAGAGAGGCAAACCAAAGAGAGAGAGAGAGAAGGGGACGGGGGAGGGAGGATGGGAGATGATAAAACGCCAATGGGAGCCCTCCTGTAGGCTCAGAGCAAAGGAGCGACTCAGACCAGATTGTAAAAAAAAAAAAGCACAGGGAGTGCAGTGGAGCAGGCAGAAAGACTCTGAGGCTGTCTGCACCTTGACTTGTTGGAGCAGCAAGCAGTACCTGCACGGCGTCAGGCATCTGCTACCTGTTGAGTTTATTGTGGAGTCAGACAGGAGGGACTAGCTCTTCAAGGAGAAGAAAAAGAAGCTTCAAACGAGTAATTCTGGACCTTAAACTCATTGATTTAAATGCTGAACCTGCAGTTTTTCTTTTATTTTTGGGAAACTTAATTTCATTGGATCCTGCATCCTTCCCACCCAGCAGACCTCTGTTTAACTTTGGAACAAACAGGAACGTCTTCCCAGTGTAAAAACCAGCGTGAAGGGGGAAAAAAAGAGAAGTAAATCATCCATTCCCAGCAGTTCTTACCTCCCACCCTCTGCTTTGGACACCCCCCCTCTCTCTCTTGCTCCCTCACTCTCCTCTTTTGCCCCCTGTGCCCTCCCTAAAACACCTCACCTCCCCCCCAACAGAGCAGAAAGCGTGAACAATCTCACTAATGGCTTTATTTGCTGTCAGTTCTGCACAGCTCTGTCATTCCCTTGGACCATTCTGCTTCACACATTTCATAGTTGAGTAAGCCTCCTCTGCTGTCTGGCTACAAAGTGCCCTTGCAAGGCTGTGCTGGCTGGGACCTCATCAAGAGGGGAGGAACACAACAGTGGCATTCAGTCTGAGAACTTTGTGGACAAGGACATCCTGAAACTCAGTTATTTTTGGTGTTTGTTGGCCTTGTGCGCGTCTTCATCTTCTGTGAAAAAACAAAAAAAACGTTACTGGTCCTAAAGCACCCTGCAAACTTTTTCTCAGGCCCCTTGGTGCTGATTTAAAGTGTGAAAATGAGGTGTGGAGCTGGCTGCCTGGCAGTGGTGGCTGCAGTGTTTTGGACTCAGTGCATCCTTCTGGACGGAGTGGAAGCCAAGAAGGAGAGAAAGAGGCCAAAGGAGGCTACGCCGCAACACACAGAGGCATACAATATAACCATCTCCAACAGCGAGGAGGTCGGGAGAGTCATCAAGGTAAGACCTCCTTAAATGCTTTTATTGTGTTATTCATTACTATAAAACATAGTAACACATGATTGCAAAGTGAAAAAGATGTGGTTGTCATTTTTGTTAAACAAATAAAACAAAAAAAAAAGAGTTTTGTTTGTGTTTGTAATTGTAATTTTGCTAACTTTTTATTGCCACCTCCAAAATAAAGTCAAATACAACCAAGAATCAATCCAATTCAGTTCAGATCACTTATATAGCATCAATTCACAGCACATGTCATCTCAAGGCACTTTGCAGAGACAATTCAACTAGATCATAGTCAGACTGGTTCAAAGTTTTCTATCTAAGGGAAACCAGCTGATTGCATCGACTCATTGACTAAGAAGAAAGCCAAGACCGCAAAAAGTCCGGCTTGCAGTTCTGCAAACCATGGAGGCGACGCAGCAAACATGGAAAGGCATACTCTGTGCAGAACTACAGCATACTTATTGGACTCCGTGCACACGCAAGAAAAAAATGCACATTTTCTCAAATACATTAGCTCTCTTTGAAGCATGGTGACGGCAGTATTAGACTGTGGTCATATGTTTCATTAGCAGCTATTAAAAAATGCCAAGGGAACCTGTTTTAGGAAGCAAATAATGTGAAACTTGAAATGGAAAAGCAAGAATGTTCGTCTCTAAATGTTAAAAGCTGGTGGAGATATATCAGGAAAACTTTAAATAAAAAAAAAACCATTTGTCATACATTTCAGATTTTTGTCATTAAAAACTGTTTGAAACCTCTCATCATTTCCATCATCCTTCTAACTATGCACAGGTTTATGTTGGTTAATGACATAAAATGTTATGAAAAATAATGGAATATTTATGGTTGCAACTTCACAAAAACAAAAGAAAAAAAGATTTTAAAAAGTGCTTATGACAGGACAAGTGTGCCCCTCCAGATCCAGCTTGAGATTGTGAAAGCTCCCAAAAAAAGGTGTAAATGTTTGAATGGAAGACCACTGCAGGCATGTCAGGAATGTGGACATCCAGAGGCTGATCAGTACATCAATAAGTGAACACTGCGGGTGTCTTCCACCAATTCCCAAGCCCCTGTGGCCAAGTTAAGATATGGTTGCTGGCAAGATAATGGATGACACTGACAAAATTGAACAAGGTTATAAAATGAGCTCATTGCATTGAGAAAAAAAGGGAAATTCAGAAACTTAATTTGCTCATCGGGATTTTAAGTAATAAACAAACGCAAAATAAAGTGGGAAAAAATAATTATGGCTCTCAGTTTCTGACAAGTTTTTACTTGGTAATTAAATTTGCTGTTTGTCAGCGATCATATATGAACAGAAAGTGTAGCGCAGGCGATGGGACAACAGTAAAGACAGGGAAGTTTATTTCTATAGAACATCTCAGTCTCAAGATAATTCAAATTGCAAATAAGAGGATTACTTCAAAAAGATAAAATTATTGATTAAAGAAAGAAAATATATATATAAATGATTTTAAAAGTTAATCAAGAAATGTTTAGATAGCACAGTCAAAGCAGCCCAGCTCCAAACAAGCACGTTTTAAATCTTGATTTAAAGTTGCGTAGCTTTTCAGGTCTTTTACAAATTTAAGGAAATTTGTTTCGAATAAGCCTGTAGGGCGGCAGTTTGTAGCACTGTTGCCTTGCAGCCGACCCGGGGTCTGCATGGAGTTTGCATGTTCTCTCTGTGAATACATGGGTTCTCCATGTGTACTACAACTTCCTCCCATGGTCCAAAAACATGAGTGTTAGGTTAATTGGCTTTTCTTAATTGTCCTTAGGGTTTAGTGTGTGTGCATGGTTGTATGTCCAGGGTGTACCCTGCCTCTTGCCCTTAGATAAGCACCGACCCCAAGGCACCCCTAACGGAACAAGGGGGAGGATATGGATGGATGTTTTAAATAAGTGAAGCACAAGGACTAAAATCTGCTTCTCCATATTTGGTTCTGGTTCTCCAGCGTAGATCTGATCCAGTAACCTGAGGGGTCTGGCTGTTGATCCACTGCCAACCAGACTGTAATGTATTTTTGAGCTAAGGCATTCAGTGGTTTATAGACTAACAGAAGGATTTTAAAGTCTATTCTCTGAGATACGGGGAGTCAGTGGAAGGACTCTAGAACTGGGCTGATGTTCTCCACTTTCTTAGTTCTAGTGAGGATGCAGGCAGCAGCACACTGGATTAGCTGCAGCTGTCTGATCCACTTTCTAGGCAGACCTGTGAAGACATTGATGCGGTGATCAATGAACGAGGCAGGAATTAGTTTATCAAGGTCCTGCTGAGACATTAGTCCTTTATTCCTGGAGATGTTCTTTAGAGGATAGAACGCCAACTTTGTTCCTGTCTTTATGAGCCTTTGCAGGTTCAGGTCAGACTCCATCACTACACCCAGACTCAGAGCCTGGTTGGTGGTTTATTCTGTGTTAGGTAAAGCAGTGAGTGCTAACTTTTAAACTCTCTGCTTTTGGTGAAAAATTAAAAATTTTGTTTTGCTTAGATTCGTCTAAAAAATTTTTGGTTCTATCGGTGTGTTGATTTCTTCTGTGTATTTACCCAGAGCTGGAATGGGTTCATAGTCACCTGGTGACTACCCCAGATGCTGGAGATCGGCCTGTTTTCCAGTGTAGTCCTGTTTCTCTGACCGTGACTGGCTGGATGTGCTCTCTTCATCCTCTTGCATGGCAGCTGGCTCGGTGCTCGTCTGCCTGGCTGTGTGTTTCCTGGACGGGGCCGCCTTTTACAGCTGCTTTTTCTATCTCTGCTTCTGTCTCCTTGAACCCCAGTCGGCCTTAGCAGATGGCCGCTCACACTGAGCCTGGTTCTGCTGGAGGTTTCTTCCTGTTAAAAGGGAGTTTTTCCTCTCCACTGTCGCTACAAGCATGCTTAGTGTGAGGGATTGTATTTGAGTCAATGAGTCAATGCAATCAACTGGTTTTCCTTAGATAGAAAACTTTGACTCAATTTGACTGTATGATCTGGTTGAACTGTAAAGTGCCTTAAGATGACTTGTGTTGTGAATTTGGCGCTATATAAATAAACTGAATTAAATTGAATTGATGTTATAATGTCCAGCTGTGAGTCATCCAGAGATGGGAAGTAACGAAGTACAAATACTTCGTTACTGTACTCAAGTAGATTTTTCTGATATTTTTACTTTACTTTACTACTTATTTTTATGGCGACTTTTTACTTCTACTCCTTACATTTTTACACAAATATCTGTACTTTCTACTCCTTACATTTAAAAAAAATTGGCTCGTTACTTTAGTTTTGAATCATTTCAATGGAGTTACCGCTATTATTTTTCACGTCATCAATACCTAATTCAATCTAATTGGATGGGAATCTACGTTGCATTTGACGCACCACTACAAGATGAATCGACAGATTCGGCGGTATTCATTCGCGGCAAATCATTGCAGCTTGGTGGCGGTGGCGTTAGCATAGTAGCATGGACGACGAGATGATTGAAAATGAACACAACGGAGATCTAGGCCTATTGGCAGACATCCATTTAAAATGTAGGCAACGGCATGAAAAAAGTGGTTTCTACTTTTACTTTTATACTTTAAGTACATTTACAAGCCTGTACTTTGTTACTTTTACTTGAGTAAAGAAGTTTAATCAGTACTTCCACTTTTACCAGAGTATTTTTTAACACAAGTATCTGTACTTTTTATCAAGTACGGAAAGTGAGTACTTTTGCCATCTCTGGAGTCGTCTGAATAGTAATGGTAACTTATGTTGTTTATTATAATCTGAGTTAGGGGAAGAGTGTAGATATTGAACAGAAGGGGCCCTAAGATGGACCCTTGAGGAATGCCATACAGGTGCTGGTCATAAAATTAGAATATCATGAAAAAGTAGATTGATTTCAGTAATTCCATTTAAAAAGTGAAACTTGTATATTATATTCATACATTACATACAAACTCATATATTTCAGATGTTTATTTTGTTTAATTTTGATGATTACAAATGACAACAAATGAAAATCCCAAATTCATCATATCAGAAAATTAGAATATTACTGAAGACCAATAAATACAAAGGATTTATAGAAATGTTGGCCAACTGAAAAGTATGAACATGAAAAGTATGAGCATGTACAGCACTCAGTATTTAGTTGGGCCTCCTTTGGCCTGTATTACTGCAGCAATGCGGCGTGGCATGGAGTCGATAAGTCTGTGGCACTGCTCAGGTGTTATGATAGCCCAGGTTGCTCTAATAGTGGCTTTTAGCTCTTCTGAATTGTTGGGTCTGGTGTATTGCATCTTCTTCTTCACAATACCCCATAGATTTTCTATGGGGTTAAGGTCAGGAGAGTTTGCTGGCCAATTAAGAACAGGGATACCATGGTCCTTCAACCAGGTACTGGTAGCTTTGGCACTGTGTGCAGGTGCCAAGTCCTGTTGGAAAATGAAATCTGCATCTCCAAAAAGTTGGTCAGCTGCAGGAAGCATGAAGTGCTCTAAAACTTCCTGGTATGTGGCTGCGTTGACCCTGGACCTCAGAAAACACAATGGACCAACACCAGCAGATGACATGGCACCCCAAACCATCACTGACTGTGGAAACTTTACACTGGACTTCAAGCAACGTGGATGAAGTGCCTCTCTTCTTTTCCTCCAGACTCTGGGACCTTGATTTCCAAAGGAAATGCAAAATTTACTTTCATCAGAGAACATGACTTTGGACCACTCACCAGCAGTCCAGTCCTGTTTCTCTTTAGCCCAGGCAAGACGCTTCTGACGCTGTCTGTGGTTCAAGAGTGGCTTGACACAAGGAATGCGACAGCAGAAACCCATGTCTTTCATACGTCTGTGTGTGGTGGTTCTTGAAGCACTCACTCCAGCTGCAGTCCACTCTTTGTGAATCTCCCCCACATTTTTGAATGGGTTTTGTTTCACAATCCTCTCCAGGGTGCGGTTATCTCTCTTGCTTGTACACTTTTTTCGACCACATCTTTTCCTTCCCTTCGCCTCTCTATTAATGTGCT